AGCTTAAAAATCATTACAAATGAATATTTTCAGAGATGCTTCTTTTGGACCATCAAGTTATGATGTTCATCTTCATGACTGTTTAAATGCAGTAGGAAAAGTAAGGTGTTTTCTTTCTTGTTGAAATTATAAACTTTTATGTAGTAATAACAATAATTTAACTTTCTTAAACTTAAAAACAATGTTAATCAATTTCATGTAGATGAGATAAAATAATTAGTGTATGTACAGAATAAAAATGTTTATAAATGAGTGTCTTTAACTCAAATTGGATGAGTAATTGAGTATAAAAACAAAACAGTAACTGTACAATTAAATTTTGTACTGAATTGAACAGCTAATAAATATTTTGAGGTATTTTATAATATAATTGTGTATTTAGGTATACTTTCCTATAACTTTGTACTTTTACAGCATAATTTCACTGACATTGTTAGAATTGCAGCAAACTTTGCCTAATATGATATGTCTAATAATGACCACCACTAAACAGGTACCATTTTTTATTTTTCCATTAATGGCTCTTCTTCAGAGGATTGATTATATTTTTAAGCTTTTGTGCAAGAAAATATTTGCTGTTATGTTGGATGTAGTTTTTTGGTTTCTTTTTCTTGTGAATTCTCTGGTTCTTACACAAGAAAATTGTTGGGAAATCATTACCTTATTTTGTTGGAAAATTCCAGTGTTAGATTTTATTTGAGTTCAATAAAATTGTGACTTCTGATATTTTTATGAAGTTACTTTGATCACTTATAAATTTTTCTGTATATGTACTATTCTATCTTAAGAATGATATTGGAATCATTTTTAGTCAATTTTGAGTAGTGTACCTTATTACTTGGCAAATGTCAATCATTGAAGGTGACTATATCCTCACACAGTTTGATCAAAATTGATGTCCCCCAACGTTGTGCTGTCCCCTTGTTAGAGGGGACATTTATGGATGTTATATGGGTCGTTATCCATATGTTATATAGGTATACATTCCAAAAATTCAAAAAAAAAAATTTCAAAAAGCCTTAAGGACCGTGTTTTATGTAATGCTATGTAACCTGCCGGAGTTAACTCGGGCAAGGAACTAAAGGGGTTTTAATTAACTCTTCACATCCAGATGCCAGTGATTTGTTTTTAGAGTGAGCTTTTGCAATTTGCGGATTCCCCTTGTACATGATACTTACTATCGACAAGTCGCTATTACATCATTCTGAGTTTCGCATTAAAAGGTATAAACTGTAATTTTATGCAGTTTTAAGTTAATTTTAACTCGTTGTTTTGGTTTTATGCGATTTTACAAAATTACAGAACGTATCCCTACTTTTTTTATGCGAATTTTTTATATGCACTTTTCTGTAGAATGTATCCACCGCATAAAACGAGACCTTACAGTATTTGAATTCAAAATACCAATTGTGAAATTTGTTTTAGATAATGTAGTACAGTAATATTTGTATATCATGTTTTAAACACAATGTTGTTACTAAATTTAAAATTTTTAATCATGTTAAATTAGATGATGGATTTATTATAAGAGAGAGATTAAAGTTAACATATATGCAATGGAATATTTACTAAAATGAAATATAGCTTAACTTATTTTAGAAAAACTAAAATAAATTTTAAAAAATGATGTTTTCTTTCCTAACAATAAAAGCATCAAATTTAATTGAGAAATATATAATAATTAGAATAGAATATTTATACACTAACTCTTATGTATTCAAGTAACATTCACTTTTAGAATTGTTTTGGATGAAGATCCAAGAGTTTAAACAGAATACTAATAAATAGAATCATAACTCAAAACAACAGTTTCATATTATTAACAAACCAGCTAAAATAGTTATGAAGATATAAAATGAAAAGTGAGATTAGATTGAGTTGCGGAAAAATATTGATGTGTTTGACTGCCCTGTTTTAATTTCCTTAAATTTTTTAAAATTTTTTTCAGATTTTTTTAATGTTTTATTGAAATATTTAATTTTTTTATATAAATGCAAATGATTTCAAACAATCTATGTATCTAAATGAACAATTATCTCATAAGTACTTGTATACTCATATGTACTCATATGCACATAAGTATTTATATAAACACACTCCAACAACCTTAAAACACAGCAAAAATTTAACAACTATAACGTTTTAGATATAATGCCATACATCAGATGATGTATGGTATTTACTTTACTCAGTAGCTGTGAATTAGTTAGAATTTATATATTCAATTATTTAAGATTCAATATTCATATTAATCAAGATTTACTTTCATAATTTTTATATAGATCATTTACTTAAAGAAAACTCCACAAGAAGCAATTAAACCATTAATAAGTGGAAACAGTCCACCATTTATTCCATTTAGGTTTGTATTATTAATAATTTTAATTTTTAAATTACTTAAACATCTTTTTTTATGTTAATTTTTAGAAAAGTCAAATTTATATAACCAATTTTAAGCAAAATATTGTCTTTATTGTATATTGTATTGTGAGGACAACAGGTATTTGNTCGATTAACACTGTTTCATTTAGCACTTTGTCGTCTATGAACACATCCCCTGCGTTAAGTGGGGTCTTACTGTATATATATATTACTGTAATATTTTCTTTGGGCTCAAATAGCTCAATATTCCAAAGAATTTTGTTTTTTAAATGTATTCTTAACTGTTCTTTTTTGTATAGAATAGTTATCAATATTCCTTGACTTTTAAAAACCTGAAGATGGCCTTTAGAACAAGTTGAAAATGTTCATTACGGTTAATAAATAATTCTCAATGAGATAAGGTGTTTTTGTTTAGGTTATGAAGCATTTAGCTGGGTATTAAATATTTTATGTTATAATAAAGTTTTTACATACTTCCCACATAATATATTTTTGCAATAGATTGTATGTTCTCATAAATATTGCATTTATAAAAAACTATTGGACTGCAATTTGAAAAAATTGCAGTCCAATAATTTTTCTATTATCTGTACTGTTGTCCATTTGTATGTCTGTTCTTCTTCAATCTTGAGAAAGAAATTAGATATATGAATGTTGAGACCAGATGTAGAAAGCTTAGGGGCAGGAGGCTCAGATTAACTATATAGGAACCTCAAGTTTGGAATAGATGTCACATCACTTCGATTCAAAATTTTCCCCTAAATAGAGTTAGATAGCAATAGAGTCATGCCGGTCATTAACAGGAAAAGTACGATGAACAGGGGCAAAACGACTACTAAAAAAATTGAGAACATTGTGACGAAAAGTTGCAGTCTAGCATTGTGAAGATGTCACAATAAATAATTGCTCATTTAAAATTAGTTTGGTTTATGTGGTACTGCAACATAACACACGAGCAATCTGCCAGGGATGCATCCTAGGAATTCTTTTATGGGAAGCCGGACCGTATTTATGTGAAAAAACCTAGAAAACTCCATGTGGCTAGCCTGTTTGCCATGCTTGAATCCACGACTAACTAACTTCCAAGGTTCGGTGGTTTTATCCACTTGGCTACTGGAGGGCATTTATTAGAATTAAGGAAGTACTGTTCAGTCGTGGAAAATTGAATACTTAATAGATTTTTCACATGGTAATACTTTCGATTGCACGCAGACAACTGCTATGCTACCTGCCGCAGTAATTATATAGTGCTTCTATTTTGTGGTATATCATTGTCACAGTAATTAAGTGAATATAATATATTTATTTTAAAATTGCATCCTTTTTATAAGAATTATATTTAGTTTATTATTTTGTAAAATTTTTAGCCAATAGATGATGCTATGTGTAAATCAGCAAATTGAATGTGGATAGAAATTAACTGATTTACAGAAATCCAATAGATATTTTGGGGTGGGATGTACGTACAATTTTATCTAAGGGTATATGAATGTAACTGCCGAGTTTCATAGCAATTGATCAAATGGCCTAGGAGTGTATAGAGAACAAACAAACAAATATTCTCGTATATATATATATATATAGATAGATAGATAGATAGATAGGACTGAGGAGGGGCATATAACCCAAAATGCATATCCTCTGTAATAAGTAGAAAATAAAAATACACTTTTTCCATCAAGAGGCGTGATAAGTTCTCAATAGCAATTTTATGCTAATGAGAACTTATCACACCCAATTGAGCAAACAGCAAGCAATCAAGTACCAAAAATTTCTGTAGTTTGAAATAGCAAGTTTATAAAATAAACCAAAACTTTTGTTCCACAAACTCCTTTTGCTGGAAAAGTGTGTATGATGTTCATTTTATTGCAAGAAACCAGGTTAACCCAGTCATCCTCAAACAATGTTTGAAGAATTACAATTTGGAATTTCAGAATTTAATAGTTTGAAACCTGAGGCAGGTTTATAAATTTAAACATAAACATTTGTTCCTTAACTCCTTTTGCTGGAAAAGTGTGTAAGAGTTTCATTTTACAAGTTAACTTTTCTAGTTTTAATTTTGGATTTTAGACGTCTTTTTTTTTTTTATTTGGTTCTTCAGAACTGTGTAGAGTGTAAGAGGAGTGTAAACACTCTTGGAGTCTTTTTATCTCTCAAATAACCATTTATTGATCAGTTCTCAATACTGTTAGTTTTCTGATATCTCTTAATGGTATGGTAGACCAGATTTTTTGTAATTTTTCAAATTTCAGATTTCTTCTTTCTTTCAATGAAGAAATCACATTTTATTTATAGTTTCTTTATGTCTAACTGAACAATGATTACAACTTACCTTACATAGGATTTGAAAAACATTTGAACAGCAAATAGAATGTGTATAAAAATTTAAATGATGTACAGTACATATCACAGGTGCGAAATACTAATGCAAGTTTTGTACCAGAACTTATTAGCCCATTGGGCTATGGGCCTATGTATGTACTCAGTAAATCTGTAAAATGTTTTTTCTGATTTTGAAAATTTATTTCTCTACAAGTCTGCAAGATACATACATGAAACAAACTTGATTTGAAAGAGCAACTCAAGAAGTTTATGTACAGAAAGAAACTGATCAAGTTCAATGGGAGCATCATGAATAGCTCAAATGACATCATACCATATTCAACCTCTTGCTACACATTGCACAGAATGTCAGGATCAACTTTCACATAGGAACCA